TTTGTAAAAATCAGCCGGGGCATGGTGGCGGCGACGACTGTAGTCCCGGCCTACTCGGGAGGCTGAGGCAGGAGGATCGCTTGAGCCCCAAAGTTTGAGGCTGCTGTGAGCTATGATGATGCACGTGTACTCCAGCCTGGCAAAAGACGGAGAGAGAGTCCGTGCAGAAGACAAGAACAAACCCACAAAGACAAAAACTAACCCCCGCCAAACAAGAACAAAAACGCGTGTTCGAAAAGACTACAAGTCTTGAGAAAAACCAAAAAGCTAGCGCCCGGGCGCGGTGGCTCGAAGGGAGCACGCTGGGAGGCGAGGCGGGCAGATGCTCGAGGTCAGGAGTTCCGAAACCAGCCTGAGCAAGGAGGAGACCCCGGTCTCTCACTTATAAAAATAGAAATAAATTTGTAATTGCGCCAGCTGGAAGACAGTCATATATAGCAAAAAAAAATTAGCGGCAGGGGGTGCGCATGCCTAGTGGAGGCCAGGTAGCTCAGGAGCGCATGCCTGTAGTCCCAGCTACTCGGGAGGCTGAGGCAGGAGGATCGCTTGAGCCCAGGAGTTTGAGGTTGCTGTGAGCGAGGCTGACGCCACGGCACTTACTCTAGCCTGGGCAACAGAGTGAGACCCTGTCTCAAAAACAAAACAAAACAAAACAAAAAAACCCCAAAAAGCTAACGTGTGTTTTGTTTCAATCCTCACCACTGAGTGTGAAGAGGGCAGGAAAGGTTTATCATGCCCCATTGAACAGATGGGTAAGCCGAGGCCCAGAGACACGCAGTCCCTTGCTCATAGTCACAGAACTTGGTTTCCTGGCCCTACTGTCTGGCGCTCACGTGTGGGCGCTCTGCAGGAGCCCACCCGCAGGCTGGGTCGGGGAGTGGGGCACACTCGCCTCGGGCCCTGGGGGTCCCTGGGGCCCTGGAGCAGGAGAAGGGACGGTGTCAGATGCCACGCCAGGGGCCACTGCGGCTCCCGTCTTCCCGGCACCAGGTCCCGCAGAGGAGGAGGCAGGGCTGTCGCAACGCCGGGGCTGCGCTGCCCGCTCCCGCCCGACCCCGAGTGCCGTGGTCGATTCTGCACGAGGACTTGGTGGTGACAGGGGACCGCAGGGTCCCCCAGGAATCCGGGGCTACTCGGGCTCTGCCCGGGCTGGCACCTCCCCCATCCAGAGGTGGGAGGACAGGTGTGCACAGGCGTGCGTCTGAATCGCGTGCGTGCACACGCACACGCACACTCGTGGCGTCCATGGTGTGGGGAGGGGTTCCGGGGCTGGGAACCGCAGTCCTGCCCGCCCAGCTCCGAAACGCCCGGGACACTGACCGTCTCGCCGTCACGTCCGGGCTCTCCTCTGGGGCCCTGAGGACAGCAAAGGGGGAGAGGGGCAGGACGTCACGTCCGACTGAGCCCAGACCTCAAGCCGGACCCCGAGGGGCTCTGAGTACAGCGTCTCGTGCCATCCCCCCAAACCCCAGGAGCGGCCCCGCCCGCCCCTACAGATGAGAAAGCTAGACTCGGGCCGGGTGACAAAGATGAGCCGCTGAGTGGCTGCCTGTCGGGGGGCTGGGGTGGGCTCTGCACGGCAGGGGGGGCAGGCTGGCGTCCCTGGGGCGGGGAGAGGGTGGCAGAGTGCGGTCTGGCCCCGGGTTTGGGTTAGGGCCCCGGGATTGGGTTAGGGCCCCGGGATTGGGTTAGGGCCCCGGGATTGGGTTAGGGCCCCGGGATTCCGGGATTGGGTTAGGGCCCCGGGATTGGGTTAGGGCCCCGGGATTGGGTTAGGGCCCCGGGATTCCGGGATTGGGTTAGGGCCCCGGGATTGGGTTAGGGCCCCGGGATTGGGTTAGGGCCCCGGGATTGGGTTAGGGTCCCGGGATTGGGTTAGGGCCCCGGGATTGGGTTAGGGTCCCGGGATTGGGTTAGGGCCCCGGGATTGGGTTAGGGCCCCGGGATTGGGTTAGGGCCCCGGGATTGGGTTAGGGCCCCGGGATTGGGTTAGGGCCCCGGGAGAACTCAGAGGACTCGTTAGCAGCAGGGAGGGCAGAGAGAGGAAGAGGGTTGCTAACGACCAGCCGGGAGTGTAGGGGGACACGCAGGGTCTCAGGGTCTGGCTGGGTCAGGATGGGGACTGGGGTGGCAACCAAGGGCAGGGTAGAGTTTGGAGTCAGGGTCATGGTCTGCAGGGGTCAGGGTTAGGGGCTGCCTAATTGTCTCAATTGGGGTTGTGGGTCAGGATTTGGGCCCAAGGTCTTTTTTTTTTTTTGAGACAGAGTCTCGCTCTGTTGCCCAGGCTAGAGTGAGTGCCATGGCGTCAGCCTAGCTCGCAGCAACCTGAGACTTCTGGGTTCAAGCAATCCTCCTGCCTCAGCCTCCCGAGTAGCTGGGACTACAGGCATGCACCACCATGCCCAGCTTATTTTTTTCTATATATATTAGTTGGCCAATTAATTTCTTTCTATTTATAGTAGAGATGGGATCTTACTCTTGCTCAGGCTGGTTTCGAACTCCTGACCTGGAGCAATCCGCCCGCCTCGGCCTCCCAGAGAGCTAGGATTACAGGCATGAGCCGCCGTGCCCAGCCGGGGCCAAGGTCTTGATTGGGGTTAGGGACCCTATTAGTGCTGCATTTAAGGTCTGACCAGGGTAAGGGTCTGGGCTGGAGTGAGGGGCGGGCTTAGGTCTGGGTCAGGGACAGGATCTGAACTGGGGTCGAGGCTGGGCTGGGTTGGGGTCCGGCTGGGCCCGGGTCCGGTGTCCGGACTGGGGTTAGGATCACATTGGGTCTGCACTAGGGACAGGGCTGGGGTTGGGGTCGGCTCTGGGACGAGGCTTTGGGGTCCCGGTCAGTACAGGGCAGGTCCTTGGCGGGCCAGCGCGGCGCCCCCTCTTACCGCCTGGCCTGGTGCTCCCCGGGGGCCATCCTTCCCAGTGTCTCCAGGAGGGCCCCGGGCCCCAGGCGGTCCAGGGGGCCCTGGAGGTCCGGCAGCTCCGTCTTGCCCTTGGTCTCCCTGAAAAAGATGGGGCTCAGCATGGCTCTGAGAGTGGGGGCAGGGCTCCAGCCTCCAGAGTGGCGCCCGCAGCCGGGCAGCCCGCCCTTTCCCCGCCCTGGGCTGGGCTCGAAGGGAAGGGCTTTGTCACTGGGCCGCTCGCCACTCTGTGGCAGCTGCACGAAGGGACAGGTCTCTGGGCCTCGGTGTAAGAGGCCCGGCAGGGACTTTCACACTCCCGGGGTTCACTCTCCAGCCCCTCAGCCCAGCTGCGGTGTTTGGGTGAGTGTGTGCACAACGGGTGTGGGGGAGCCCCGTGCCCGCCCAGCCCCCGCCTTCCGGAAGGGGGCTCAGTGTCTCCCGAAAGACCTCAGCCGGTCAACGCCTGCCTCATTGAAAGTGGTGGAAGTGTGCGCTCTCGGGCACTTATCCCAGAGAAACGAAAAGTTAGGTTCACACAAAACCTGCACACGTGTGTCATGGGACTTTATTAGTGACAGCTCTGACCCGGACACTCCAAGCATCTTTCAGTGGGCGGCGGTCAGTCGGCGTGGCGCATGGGCATCGCGGAACGCTACTCGGCAGGAAGGGAAAGGACCAAGCCACTGACACAGGCAGCCACTCGGATGCACCTCAAGGGACTCGTGCTGAGTGACAAAGCCCATCCCCAAACGCCAGTGCGGGGTGACAGCGTCTACGCGGCACTCTCGGAACGGCGAGGTTACGGACATGGAGAACAACTTTGTTTTTGAGACAGAGTCTCGCTCTGTCACCCGGGCTAGAGTGCCATGGAGTCAGCCTAGCTCACAGCAGCCTCAACCTCCTGAGCTCAAGCGATCCTCCTGCCTCAGCCTCCCAGAGTGCTAGGATGGATGACAGGCGTGAGCCACCTCACCTGGCCGAGAACAAGTTAATAGCTGCCAGGAGTTTGGAATAAGAGAGACAAATGTGATTTTTAGATCTCCATGTGATGGTTAAACGAATTTACAAGTGTGATAAAATTGCATAAAACTACACACACACACACACACACACACAAATGAGTGTATGTAAACTGGGGAATCTGAATCAGGTTGGTGGGTTTTATCAACGTCGATTTCCTGGTTGTGAGGTCGAACTACAGTGACGGAAGGTGCCGTCACCGGGGAGGCTGGATGCAGGTGTACGGGCGTCACCTGTCACCAAGGCAGGTGGAATCTGTAATTATCTCACGAGGAAAGTCACAAGCAGAGGTGAGGCAGGGCCACACAGGCTCATGCAACACTAAGTCCCCAGCTTTCGGACTTGATGTTAGTACCGGGTCAGACCTCAGGCAGCCAGAGCCCTCACTTCTTGGCCCAAGCTTCAACGAGAAAAGCCCACAGTGTGACCAGCACACCTTCCTGCCCCCCTAGCAGGGCCTGCCCAGGGCACAGGAACGGGGCACAGCAAGGCCATGGTGACAGTAGCTCCGGAACTTCTTGTTATCAAGAAAGGAAGAAAGAAACCTTCTGCGGACCCCGCACTGAGCAAGTGAGGACGTCGTGAAGACCGTCCTATTCTACTATCCATCTGCATCTGCATGACGAGCTGGCCAGGGCATGGTCACCGTCTGGCTGGGGGTCAGAGAGGGACAGCATTTACTTAAGCCTGCAGAGCCTTCTCTGACCGTCAGGGCGGATGGTCCCTTTTATTTATTTATTTATTTATTTATTTATTTATTTATTTATTTATTTATTTTTTGAGACAGAGTCTCACTCTGTTGCCCAGGCTAGAGTGAGTGCCGTGGCGTCAGCCTAGCTCACAGCAACCTCCAACTCCTGGGCTCAAGCGATCCTCCTGCCTCAGCCTCCCGAGTAGCTGGGACTACAGGCACGCGTCACCATGCCCGGCTAATTTTTTCTATATATATATTAGTTGGCCAATTCATTTCTTTCTATTTATGGTAGAGACGGGGGTCTCGCTCTTGCTCGGGCTGGTTTCGAACTCCTGACCTTGAGCAATCTGCCCGCCTCGGCCTCCCAGAGTGCTGGGATTACAGGCGTGAGCCACCGTGCCCGGCCTGGATGGTCCCTTTTAGACACTGTTTTCACCCACGGTTGCCATGATCTGAGAGAGCTCCTCTCTCTAGCAAACTGCACGTAACACATAATTCATCTGGTTTCCCAACAAAAAAAATCAACGGAAGCGCTCAGTGTCTGCCATGCAGATCTTCCGCCCAGTCTGGCATAGCCAGGGACCAACCAAAAGGTGGTGACTCCGGCTAGAAGGAAAGAAAACTGACAGTCTGGCCACCAGCTTCGGGTGGTGAGAGGGTCAGGTAACTCCTGTTCGTCTTGTGCTGTGTCGGGGAGATCTGGAGACCCCCCCATCACCCCTCTCCTGCTCCTCCGCAGCTCAGGGGTCTCAGCCTGGGGACCTCCTACTAACAAGGCAGGAAGTGGGTCTGGACACCCGACCGGGTCCAGGACAGATGCTCTTAGGCTCTTCCCCGGGCGCCCTCCTCCCTCCGCTTGGATGGCTGAGGTCTCGCCCTGGGGGTGTGGGGTGAGTCCAGGGGTGAGCACAGCAAAGCCGCGGGCCCAGACCCCGCTCGGCAGTCTACCTTGAGCACATGGAGACTGTACTCGTGGCGGTCTCTATTTAGAAAGCCCGGATGGAGCCGTGGGAAAACCATCTAGTCCGCAAACAGATCGTGTGGTCAGAAAGGCAGGAGGGTGATTGCAAAATCCACAAGGCTCTTGACCCTCTGGAGGCAAAGCCACCCAACCCAGCCCAGGGAAAGGCCACTTGGTGATCGGGGACACAGACGCCTACTCCAGAGAGGTCCCTGCACCAGCTCCCGTCCCACGGGCTCTCCCGGGACAGCAGGTGTGGGGGGGAGGGGTGGGGGTGGGGGCACTACTTCTCCACCCCCTTGATTCGGGACGGCCCATGACGGATCGCATCGAGGAAACACAGGGGACATAATGCCGCCTCCGTTCTGGGTGTGGCTCTCAACAGGCCTCTGGTGGTGCCTGCCTCCAGCCTCCGCCAGGCTGTCCTCGGGAAGCCCCCGGCCTCCTCTGGGACCAGCCGCTCTCTCGGCTCCATCCCCTTCCACCCCCAGCCGGTGAGCAGGTGCTCGCCGTGGGTGACCGGCTGCAGGCTCAGTTTCCACCCCACGACCTGCTTAAAACAGCCCGGCGCACGCCGCTCTCTGGCCTGTCTCCGGGCAGCTGGAGACCTGCCTGTCCCCCCTGGGGCCAGTGCTCTGTAGCCTCCTGCCCGGCTGTGCCGGAAACGGCAAGGGACCCCATGCACGGCCAGCCACTCAAGTGACCCTCCGCCAAGACCTGCTCTGTGTGGCTACCTCGGGGCTCGGTTCCAGCTTCTGTGTAGGAGACCTGAGGCCCAGCGCGAGGCACTTCTGAGCGCATGGGTGCAGGGACCCTGAGGGCAGGTTGGTTGGGAGACTGACCTGCTGTCCCCGTGCCGGGGGGCAGGGTGCTGGCTTGTGTGAAGCAGTGAATCTTCACCACAACCGCCTGGGGTGGGGGCTGTCACCCCCACGCAGCGTTGTAGAAAGGCTCAGAAGGGGGAAAGTCACTTGCTCAAGGCCCCTTGGCTGGTAAGCGGCAGAGCTGAGCTCTGGGCTCACGTCTGCTGGCCCTGGAGCCAACCCTCTTCCCGGGACTGCTGCCCACTCCCTCCCGACGGTCGGTTTCGGGTCTGGGTCGGTGCCAGCCCCACTGCCCAGCATCTCAGTGATGAGCTTGGGACCTGGACACCTGGCGGACACTCTTCATTTGTGCAGGGGGGGTCCCTGGGGGCCCCCACACACTGGCCACGGGGGTTAGGAGGGGCTGGCTGCCTCCGTGTTTCTGTGACCAGCTCTGGAGAGCTGGGAGACAGAGGGAGTGACGGGGGCCTTGTTATTACAGAAAACCTGTGGCGTGGACAGACGAGGGAGGTCCTGCTCGGTTCTTACCCGGGGGCCAAAGTCTCCTGGTACACCCTAGGAACAAAAGACAGGGAGACACGTCACCACCGCTTCCGTTATTTCTCCCCCTTTCCTGCGTGCTCTGCATGCGTGGTCTGTGTTAGCCCTGGCAGAAACTGCAGGCGGGCTCTCCTGCTGTCTCCTTTTTTTTTTTTTTTTTTTTTTTTTGAGACAGAGTCTCCCTTTGTTGTCCAGGCTAGAGTGAGTGCCATGGCGTCAGCCTAGCTCACAGCAACCTCAAACTCCTGGGCTCGAGCGATCCTTCTGCCTCAGCCTCCCGAGTAGCTGGGACTACAGGCATGCGCCACCATGCCCGGCTGATTTTTTATATATATATCAATTGGCCAATTAATTTCTTTCTATTTATAGTAGAGACGGGGTCTCGCTCTTGCTCAGGCTGGTTTTGAACTCCTGACCTTAAGCAATCCGCCCGCCTCGGCCTCCCAAGAGCTAGGATTACAGGCGTGAGCCACAGCGCCCGGCCTTCTCCTGCTGTCTCCTTTCCAACGGGAAACCGAGATGTGCAGCGGCCCGTGACTCTGGCCAGAGGCAGCTGCTCCCCCTGCGCTGGGAGGGGTGACCGCGATGGTTTTATGCTGGGAAGCTTTGGGGCGGTCATTATGCAGCAGCAGCTACCAAGACCCGGGTTCCTCTCTGGCTCCAGAGCCCCTGCGTGGATCACTTCTGTGCCTCGGTGGCATCAGTCAGAGCCAGCGGGACGTCACCAGAGGGTCACCGTGACACCTGCCTATGCGCCAGTCTCTCATTACCGATGAACAGTCAGACCGTGACCTCATGCAGTCCTCCCCACGAGGACTGGGAGGTTGTCTTTAATTTACAGCTGGGGAAACTGAGGCTCACAGAGCCAGGCAAGTTGTACAAGGCCACGCGGTTGGTGGCGGGGCCGGAAGGCAAAGCCGAGGCCCTGGACACCGAATCCTGTGCCTTCCAGCAGCGTCCTCAGCCCCGACAACGGACGGGAACCGCCCCGCTCTGACCCTAAGCTGCCACTTCGCAGAAGGGCCCTCTTCCCCACGGCCACGTCTCGGGCCGGGGCGGATGTGGTCCAGGCACACCTCCGTGTGTCCTGGCCACTCCCCCTCCTGATCCCACAGGGGACACACAGGTCTCCTGTCCCCTTCCAAGGCACTCGGAGACCCTCGCCCTCCAGTGGGGCCGAGTGTGACTGACTGTTAGCGCCAAAATGCCAGGGAAGCCTGTCTCACCGGGGGCTGCAAAGACAGCTCTCGGCCATCTGTGTTCCTGTGGGTGTCCTCCCCACGGAGAGTGCTGTGCACGTGGTCGTTCAACCCCCAGGCCCGCCTGGCCGCCCTCTTCATGATTAGTGGCTTTGGACACTCATCATTTGGGACAGACTGGGGCCCTCCGGGTTTTGTAATTTGTGCTCTGGCGCTAGGAGAACTCAGACCGAACCCTCCTGCGTGTGAAAGATAAGCCTCGCAACCATTTTAGTAGGCAGGCACTGCTTGCCCTGCTATATACAAGGGGAAACTGAGGCTCTAGAAGGGGCTGTGGCATGCCCAACGTTGCACTCTGGAACTGGGGTTTGGAGGCAGGTTTTGGCATCCTCCCTCAGCTGCCACATCTGGACGGCCTCCAAGGCTTCGCTTACCTTTTCCCCTTTAGGGCCTGGAAGTCCCTGGAGAAGGAAAGTGGAGAAACAACAGGCCTGAGCGAGGAGGCCGAGGCTGGCCGCCCTTCCGGCTTCCCCACGGCTCCCAGGGCCTGTGAGGCTGAGCAGAGCCGTGGGCAGCTACGTGGCAAATGGCACAGGAGCCATCAGCCCTTAACGAGAGCTGCCCGTGCTGGCCCAAGGCAGCGCCCCGGCTCAGTCTTCAGCACGAGGGAGGTGAGGGATTTGAGGCCTCCAGCAAGGGCCCACTGGCATTTTCTCAGCAGGGAAAGGGGCACATGCACTAGCCACTGGTCCCAGAAATCACAGCTGCCCCTCCCTGCACAGCTCCCACCTGCACCTGCTGCCGGGGAGGAGACCACTGCCCCCAAGCTGCCCGTCTGGAATCTGCAAGGCAGGCAGGCACTGGACAGAGATCCTTTTTCCAGAAATGTTCTTTCCTTTAAGGGTGGTAGCCTTTTGGAGTCTGGGCTCCATCCATCAGTCCTTGCTTGGAAGAGTTATCCATCCATCCATCTATCCATCCATCCATCCATCCATCCATCCATCCATCTATCCATCTATCCACCCACCCACTCATCCACCCACCATCTGTCTGTCTGTCCATTTGTCAGTTCGTTCACTCTTCCACTCATATATCCACACACCCATCCACCTATCCACCCATCCATTCATCCATCCATCCATCCATCCATCCATCCATCCATCCATCCACCCACCTATCCACCCATCCATTCATCCATCCACTAATCCATCCATCCACCTATCCACCCATCCATTCATCCATCCACTCATCCATCCATCCATCCACCCACCCAACCACCCACCTATCCATCCATCCATCCATCCATCCATCCATCCATCCATCCATCCCCCTATCCATCCATCCATCCATCCATCCATCCATCCATCCATCCATCCATTCATCCATCCACTCATCCATCCATCCATCCACCCACCCATCCATCCATCCATCCATCCATCCATCCATCCATCCATCCATCCATCCATCCATCCATCCATCCATCCATCCATCCCTCCATCTACCCAGCCATCCGTGTATCCATCTGTCCACATCCAATTATTCATTTACTTGTGCTGTCCTCCTGTGCATTTTGTTCATCTGCTGAGGATGCCCATGGACTACGGGCCCCTGGCCCAGGTGTTGAGAACTCAGCCCGACGCCCACCACGGAAGTCTTGAGAACACATCCAGAGACACTCTGTGCCTGGAGCCCGCTGGGAGGGGCTCCCACGCCGTGAGATGTGAGAGTTGAGTGGACACCAGCAACGATGCTGCCCACAGCTCCCCATAACCCGAAAACATTCCTGTCGGCGAGGGGTTAATGCACCCATTTCACAGACGAGAAACCCCAGGTTTGGGAGGTGGAGAGGTTCCCCGCCCCCCTGTGGGTGTGACAGTCAGCAGGTGGTGGACCTGGATTTGAACTCAAGTCTGGCACCCAGCGGCTTCTCTCTGTGCTGAACCGGGTTCCCAGTGGCCCCTTCCCTCTGGTGCCCCACGGTCACTCACAGCCCCACAGTGGCAGTGCCATCCCAGCACCACCTAGAATTGCCTTGTCAACACTTACGGGTTTGCCATCCAGACCCAGGGGTCCCTGCAAGATGAAAGAGAAAGAGAGAAAGGGTTACACGTGGGAACAGCACTTCCTCTGTGCCTTAAGACCCAGGTCAGTGACAAGAAAAAGCCGGCCCTGAGCCCAGTGGTCTGGGCACATTCCATGTGGACTGGGGCCGGGCTGGGGGAAAGGAAGGCATCTGCTGCCTAGAGCCCTGGCCTTTGACGACAGAGCCCCATTCCTTCTCTAAAGACAACCCCCTCCCAACCCGTGGTGCCTGGCGGCTGCTGGGGGACAAGAAGCATGTCACCAAATTCCCTCCACCAGGGTGCCAGGGGCAGGGACGGGCCTGGGACCCCAGCTGGCCTGGGACTTGGAATGGTCGTGGTTTAGGGGAAGGAGGGCTCTTCTTTCCTGATGGGGCTCAGCCTGTAACTCCCGGGGCCCCCAAGTGGCTCGAGAAAAAGCCGACAGAGAGGAAGGCAGAGCTGAGAGACAGAGAGAGGCAGGGCGGAGGGCTGGGAGCTGCAGCTACTCCTGCACACTTCAGTCCCCGAGCTAATGCTTCTTTTTTTCCCTTAAGCCAGCGTGGATTGAGTTTCTTTTTTCTTTTTTTTTTTTTTTTGAGAGAGTCTCGCTTTGTTGCCCAGGCTAGAGTGAGTGCCGTGGCGTCAGCCTAGCTCACAGCAACCTCAGACTCCTGGGCTCAAGCGATCCTCCTGTCTCAGCCTCCCGAGTAGCTGGGACTACAGGCATGCACCACCATGCCCGGCTTATTTTTTCTATATATATTAGTTGGCCAATTAATTTCTTTCTATTTATAGTAGAGACGGGGTCTCGCTCTTGCTCAGGCTGTTTTCGAACTCCTGACCTCGAGCAATCCACCTGCCTCAGCCTCCCAGAGTGCTGGGATTACAGGCGTGAGCCACCGCGCCCGGCCATGAATTGAGTTTCTGTCACTTGTAGCTAGGAGAGTCTTGCAGCGCTTTGAGCTTCCTGCGTTGCTGTGGGCTTTGCAGACAAAGTAGAGGCTGAGACAAGCCGGGTCACCCAGGGCTGGCTCTGAGAGCCAGCGCACCACAGCCGCGTGGAGTAGAGAGGAATCCAGCCTGGTCTCTGCTAGCCCCGTCCTCCCCTCCAGCTGTTCCCCATCCCCACGTACACTTCGCCCTTGACCCAGCGACGCTGCACGAGGCTCCACACTTTCAACACACCCCGCCTGCCCGCCGGGCGCCTCCCTCCCTTGTGCAACTGCGGCTCAGTTATGTCCCCTTCCACGAAGTCCCCCGGGCTTCTCTGCTTCCCAGAGCCAGCCCGTCTGTCCCTGTTGCCTGCACATACATTCTAACTGTTGCACACGGCACGATGTACTGTTTTTTTTTTTTTTTTTGAGACAGAGTCTCACTTTGTTGCCCAGCTAGAGTGAGTGCCGTGGCGTCAGCCTCGCTCACAGCAACCTCAAACTCCTGGGCTCAAGCAATCCTCCTGCCTCAGCCTCCCGAGTAGCTGCGACTACAGGCATGCGCCACCATGCCCAGCTAATTTTCTCTATACGTATTAGTTGGCCACTTAATTTCTTTCTATTTATAGTAGAGACGGGGGTCTCGCTCTTGCTCAGGCTGGTTTTTAACTCCTGACCTCGAGGCAATCCGCCCGCCTCGGCCTCCCAGAGTGCTAGGATTACAGGCGTGAGCCACGGCGCCCGGCCACGACGTACAGTTAGCGGCGTGTGGTCTGCCAGGCCCTCCTTGGCAGAGCCAGGACAAGGTCTGATCCCCTGTGCGGATCATGAGGCCTGGCATGGAGCACGTGCCCGGAAATCGTGCGCTAAGGCGACCCGGGGAAGTAGCGCAGGAAAGGCAGGGTGTGCGCAGGTACCTGTAATTCAACGTGGAAAGGGGTAAGGCAGGACGCACGAAGGGGTCTGCCCGTTCGGAGCCGGGAGAGCATGTCCCGGGGGACTGGACTACGAGGCAGAGCTGCCTGGGGACAGCAGGAGCAAGGACTTGGACCGACGGAGAGCAGGGAGGGCCGCTCAGGGACGGCGGCTGGCAAAGGCCGAGGAGGGACCCTGTGGGGGCCGAGGGGGAGGGGAGCTCCGGCCTCAGCATGGCTCACCACCCCGACTGGGGCTGCCTCCGCCTGGCTCTGTCCCCACCCCTCTGGGCTCCCACTGGCTGGGACAGACTCCGTGGCCCAGCATGGCGTTCTCCACGGCGGGGCCAGCTGCTGCTACGCGGTCACTCTGCGTCCTGTCACCCGCTGAGCTCTCTGGCTTCTTTCCCACCCTCATGGCTTGGCTCGGCTGTTCCCCTGGCGTGCAATGCTCTTCCCCGCCGTCTCTGCCCGGGGCGAGCCGGCTCTCCTCTGGGAAGCCTTTCCTGGCCCCCAGCGGACCGATCTGTCCTCCTGCAGCTCTGGACGTGGCTGGGAGCTGCCCACCTGCCGGTCAGGAGGTGAAAACCGCTGGTTTCCCTGGCGCGGCCTCCACGCCACCCTGAGCCGCGACAGCCAATCTGGCAGTTCCCCAAACGACGTGAGAGCAGCCACCCTGGGGACCTGCGGCCAGGGCCGTGCTTCTGACCATCAGCCTTGTGGGCGGTGGAGGTTTGGACATCAGAGCGTGGGCCTGGGGCCCCAGGAGAGGGCGTGGGGCCATGCCAAAGCCTCGGGGCGTCAGGCCTGGAGGCTCCCGGTGGGGGCCTGGGCCCACGTCACAGGTGCAGTGCCCGTCCTTGCCGTCCCTCTCCCTGGAGCGGCCCCTGCTACCTGTCTCCCCCAGCCGGCGCCTGCCGTCCTGCTCCCAGGACCCCCATTAATGAGCCCGGGGCCTCGTGAAGCGTATGTAACTCATGTATCACTTTGGGAGCCGAGTGAACTATTTTTTAGGTTGCATATAACGCACACACAGCAAACAACAAAAAATAACAAGTTTTTCATTGAATTAGAAAGGATCGTTTTGTTTTCCAAGTTTTCATTCTATTTTCGACATAAAACACAGTGGCCTCGAGGAAAAATTTTTTCTAGTGTAGCACTGAATGTGTTAAGTACGAAAGGTCGGATTCCCCTTACGTCGTACTAAGTGTCATGGCTCTGACGCTTCACGTCGATACTTCTCGTTTTGTTTTCGTTGTGAAGGTGCATCCTCAGTCTTGCACGCACGCGTTTTGGCTTGTGAGTATCTTCCACGTCGTTTCAGAGTGATTTGTGCGAAGCCACGGGTAAGTCACGATTGGCGTTATGACTCAAACTGGCAGTTTCCATGGCGGGCAGAGCCTGGCTCTGGGTGCAGTTGGGGAGGACGCACACCTCCGGGAGGGGCCGGGGCTGGTCCGAAGGGAGCCAAGAACAAACCTGGGGGGTCGTGGCCGGGGGCCCAGGCAGGCCGGGCAGGGTCCAGGCCGAGCGTCGAAGCTGGGGCCAAGCTGCTCTGAGCAGCCTGCAAGGGTGGAGCCCCCGTGCAGGGCAGAGGCGTACAGAGGCTCGTGCAGGGTCTCTCCTCTCCAGGCAGCCCTCGCTGCCCCTGCAGGAGGAGTGTGAGGGATGGTGGCCCGCGCAGGTGCACCTGCAGCTCACAGAGGCAGGCCCGGAACCTTGCTAGGCCTGGGTTCAAATCCACGCTCGGAGCCCCAGCTGCAAAGATTCCCGCCGGCTTGGAGACGCTCCGTCCCCGCCAGCTCCCTCCCCTGCCCGATCAAAGCCAGGGGACCCACCGGAGGTTTTCAACACCTTCCGCCTCCACGAAACCCCACAGCTGTAGACAAGCCTCGGTGCTGCTTTAATCACTCTCTCCTCGTGGAGCTCAGTCGCGCTCCGGGACGTCTCAGGATGCGTGGGGAGCAAACAAAGCCCTGACTGCACGCGAGTGGCAGGCCAGGTGGCCGGCGGCTGGGGACGCCAGCCGGGCTGACCCCCCTGCCCCCCACCCCGGGGGCTGGCTCAGTCCCTTGCCCCACTCAGGGACCAGGGAGCTCCAGGGCCTTAGTTTCCTCAGCTGTAAAATGCAGGTGATGACGTCCCCTCTCAAATGACAAGTTTGAGTTGAGTCTCAGGTCATTCTCCTGTGTTCCTACCCCTCCCTGAGCGACCCAAGCTGATGCAGAAGTGGGGTCTGCCCTGGCCCTGGGGGGACAGTGCTGCAGGTGACCTTTGTGTGGGCTTCCGAGGGGCTGGCCGTCGGGCGCGGGGCCTCGCCGTTTGCTGTCGCCTGTTACCTTGGGGCTCGTGCCTCCTTCCCTCCCGCACGCTGTGGAACGCTTCCTGAGCGGGGTTCCAGAGAGGCGGCGTCTGAGAAATGCTGGCAAGCGTTGCAAAGAGGGGTGGGGGTTCTTGGGGAAGCAGGTTTGGGGTGCAGCACACGGCGGCTCCATGCCCGGAGCTTCTCAGTGCTCATCAGCCAGTGACAGCCGGTGCCGACCCCGTGACTCCCGGCCAGGGGTCCAGGCTGGCCCTGCACCTCCCTGCCAGCTGCGCAGTCCCCTTGACGGCGGCCCAGCCCTCCCCCCGCCCCCCCATCAGCCCCAGCCTCTGCTGAGCCGCACGGAATCAGTAAACCGGCGCGTTTCGATGCAGGCACGAGCACATGCTCCCATCGGCCGGCGCTGCGTGACTGTCTAGCTTTCTGCTCGTTAGGAAGGCCGACGGCTCCCGTCGGGGGGTGGAGCCCTCCCAGCGCACTGGGATGGGGCCCTGCCCGAGGGGCTCCCCAGGATCTTCAGTCCGGCCCGGTAATTACGCCCCAGATGTTGACAATTCATCAAATTACAAGGCTGCTGGGGCCCGAGGTCCCAGCCGGGAAGCACATTCCCACGTGCTTCTCTGCTGGCCGGCGGGCGCGGGCTGGGCGGGCAGTCCCTGCGGGGCAGGCCGCGCCATGTGGCTCTGCTCTCCAGCCCGGGCTGTCTGCACACACACGGGCCGCAGCAGGACTGTCCCGGGCTGAGCGATTTCCCAGACTCGGATTCCTCGCCGCAGGGAAAGGGAGGGAGGGCCCAGCGCTTAGGTCCAGCTCAGACGCTGCTGCTCACGCTCCGATGGTG